TCCGAGTCACACATACGATCAGAGCATCTAAATTGAGTTTTTTTTAGTATTCTTTTGTTGTGTGTTGACACAGATCTTCAATGACTTACGTCTTAAGAATATCCTTGCATCTCATTGGATATGGCAGTTTGAAGAACTCCTCGCATTTATTGCAAGTCTTAGCACACTTCTGAAATTTTTCCTCTCATAGAAGACTCAATTTCCTTTAAACCTTTGTTGTCATGATGTGATAGAGGGGATTCTCGCAAAGTGGAGCCATTTTCTCGCAGTTTTCATCGAAATCCATACAACTGAAAGGAAATTTTTTGTTTCAAATCTGATTTTGTAGGGCATTCATTCACTCACAGTGGCTCTTTGGTGGTGAAATCCGGATCGATAGTGGTCACTTCGGCGCTGGTTGTCGTTTTCTCACGACTGTCCATCGTTGTCGACGTCTAGAAAAAGGAATTGCTCTATTGATTGATTAGACGTCGAAATTTTCACATTTACCCTCTGCAACTCACCCCTTTCTCTTCTTTTCTCCGTGGCCCACTTCGAGACAACTAAATTTGTGGTGATTTAAAGATTGCCAAAGAAATCACTCACTTCGGGAGCCTCGACCTCCGGGAAGAGTGTATTCGAGGGGATCAGTGGCACCTTTGTTCCCGTTTTATCTACAGATTCTAGATCGAGGGTTTTCGTCAAGAAAATTTACTTTATGACTTACCGTTTTCATGAGAAAATAGCATTTCGTAGGATCCGTGATCAAGACGGGGCAACTGTGCCCGGGCGGCCACAAAACCGACAAGGGCGAAAAGGGTGATGATCCATCGAGGTTCCATTTTGGGGTCTGAATGATTTGGGGTAAAAGTGATGATTGATGAAATTTCATATAAAAAAAGTGGATCGGAGGCAAGAGGAAACCTTTAAAAGGTAAGCATAAAGGAGTTGTGACTTTTTACATCGGAAAGTAACATTTTTAAAGTGAAGAGCTGTGTAGATCGCGTGTTGAAGTTCTCAAAATAATGACTTTTGGGTGCCGCCGCTCCGACTAGAAGAACCCATGGGCCGCTCCCATTTGTGGAATGGGGCACACCCTCGAGGAATGGCACCACGCGCACAATCACAGCCACTCCATCATCACAAAATCCACACGGATGTAAACATTCGTCAGGAAGATACACAAGACAAACAAGGCTCTTGCACACGCCCATCCCCGACGTGTGCTTTCCGGGGAAGCACACACATCCGTGTCTTTTCGAGTGTTGCCATCAAGAACTGACAGAAAATTTAGAAAAAAAAGTGGCCAAATTTGAGAAGCTGTGAATTCTCGTGAACGTCACTGAGTGATAAAGAACGAGCACTCTTGAAAGTCAATTCGAAAGCTTGGGGAGAGGATAGGCACCCGGAAAGTGAGCACACAAGACTCTTCTCCAGACACATGCGGGGAGGGGAACTCTTTGTGTCCAAGGAGGAGACCCTCCGGGGATTTCTTGAACAAACACTCTCCCCCTTTGGCCCGACAATCCACACAAAAATCCCCTCTCCAATTCGATGTCTCACCTGTCGACAAGACACACTCATAATGGATGGACTCGATGAAGAAGAAGCCAATAAAAGAATTTGCATGATATGCTTAAGATTGAACATAACACAATGTTCGCCCTTTTTTCATCTATTACAAAATTACTATTTATTTAAAAATTTCGGCGCCTAAAGCACCTATAGAAATAATTTATAATAACAAATATGAAAAAATCCTTTAGTGATATCCGTTTTAAGTCGAAGAAGACGATATGTGCGAAGGGCGGGAGGCGATCATTCGATACCCCGAGAAATTTCCATCGACCAACGCGGGCTCATCAACCGTTTTTTCGCCCTCGAATGGCGCCACTGGACTGTAACGGCGAACTGATACCTGAAAAAGGGAAATTTACAAAGCGATGATACTACTGGTTTACTTGTGATGGTTCTTTCTTTGGGCTTTTCAGATGAATTGAATAACGATAGAGTGAATAGAAGCACAGCTCGCTTAGCGCCAACACTGCCAACAAGGCAAACCATACCTAAAAGATAAATCTAACTTGAAAAAATTGATATTACAAAGGCTAAACATGGAAGACTAACCATCATCCAAATCCAGTTTGAGGGATAAACGGGAGAAACGTTCGTCGTCGACCACAACGAGTTCCACGTGAGACGATGTGTGAGAATTGAAGAGAAGGCGCACACTTGGAGAATCGCTCGCAGAATACAGATCCCCACGTGCATCCACTAAATTAAAAAAGTAGAATTAATTGTTTTAAAAACTCTAGCCAACCTTTTTCGCTTTTCCATCGCTTAGCTCATTGTAGACGGCCACCAGCGCAACGAGAAGCACATCGAGAAACTCGATGATTGAAGCGGCCAACACCGGCTAAAAATGCAATTAGGGAAATTTATTTGCAAAAACCTGTGTCCTGGAGAAAAGTTCTTCTTTTCCAAAGCCAATGATGTCCAATGGCGAGAGCTAAACAAATAGGAATTAGAATAACAAAGCATTCTAATCACCTCAATTGCATACACCGGTCCTACTTGCATCACCGTAAATTGCGCTGTTTCATTCGCTAAACAAAGAATTCAGTTGAAACTAGCACAAAATCCTTACCAACTCTAGCACCATCGTTGAAGCGAACCAAAAGCTGCTTGGACGGGGGCTCCTGTAGCTAAAAAAATAGTAAACGAGTGATAATTGTTAAATAGAACTTTAGTTAGGCTGGATCGTAAGCTCTCAACAATTTCGTTTGCCTAGGTAGTTTAAAACTCTCACCAAATCGACATTGTTTAAATGTAAACGATCAACGTTGTAGAGCGCACAGAGAAGGGTCACTCCAACAATCAGCTGCAAGGTACGAACCACGAGACCCACACGCACTAAAAAACAAATAAAGGTTAAATAGGCGAATAAGGGTTTGGCTCTAAACCTATTTTTTTGGGTTTATTTTAGTTCCAGTAACCGTATAGAGCACAAATAAAACAAATTTAAGCGCCGGTACCACGGTACCAGCAAGAAAACGGCAGAGCTTTACAACGTTTACTTCACGTCTTAAACCCTTTCTTTCAGTTTTTCTTTTCTTTTTGTAGATTTTATACCGATTTTACTACCACCTAATTATTTTTTTCTTCTAGGATGATGGTCATTAGCGAGTTGTTTGATGATTTGCCAACTACGGCAACGCCGTAGGTGGCGCCCGTGCTAGCCAGCGATGCGCGGCCGGGAAGTGGCCTGCGTCAGTGTTTTTTTTAAATGGGCCGGGAACCGCGTGACGCGCAGAGAACGCACCAAAAAATATTACCCGATTGAGCTAGGCCGATCTGCCCAACACAAAAACTATCAGACCTAAAATTTTTGTGTAAGACGTGAAGTAAACGTTGTAAAGCTCTGCAGTTTTCTTGCTGAAAAACATCGTTCCGGCGCTTAAATTTGTTTTATTTGTGCTCTATACGGTTACTGGGACTGAAATAAACTCAAAAAAATAGGTTTCGAGCCAAACCCTTACCCTTATTCGCCTATTTCCCCCAGTAACTGCTTGAAATAGCTAGAAAACAGTCACTAAAGCTTAAATAAATACCAAATTAAGAATCTACGCCATTAAAAACCCTAGAAGCAAAAATTAGTGCGCTCTGGCTCAATAGAGATGAAGTACGTTGGCCCCCCAACTATTAGCATCAAAATATAGCCTTGTTAGCGTAACAACAAAACTTTTAGATTAGATAATGAACATGTGGCCTGGGCTAGTAAAAACTAGGTAGTAGAAATTCAAAAAAAGTCGATGTTTTCACAAATCGGACCCCCCTAATTACTAGGCATAACACCATAGCACATGCGGCTTTTATGTATTCGTGAGTCTTAATCCATCTCCATTCAACTTAGGCTCGCGTTTTCTTTCAAATTAAACACTTAAACGTAAGAAAACATAACAAAACAAAAATCTCACTTTTGAAGACGATCCGATCAAAAAGTTGCAAACAAGAATAATGATTTTTGCGTAAAAATTTTCGATTTTCTGCATAATGTACTTAAATTTGATCTGTCTCATATGCAAATTGTATTCAAATGTCGATTTTGTCGGTTCTTTGGGGAGTGGGACAAATGTGACCTTTTTTTTGCGCACCCGGACATTTGCGCACCCTTTTTTCGCGTTTTAAAAAAGCTCTAAAAAGCTAATATTAACCAATTTCTATTCCAAAAGTTGTTTTTCTAGGCAATTTGAGGATGTCGAATCGGAATTTTGACATATCAGAGCTTGTGGAACCAATTTGAAAGACAAAACGGCTAGATCAAATTACAGAAAATTGTCGATTTTTCTCTTTGTATAACTCCGTCCGTTTGTTTCCACAAGCTCTGATATGTCAAAATTTCGATTCTACGCCCTAAAATTGCCTAGAAAAACAACTTTTGGAATAGAAATTGGTTAATATTAGCTTTTTAGAGCTTTTTTAAAACGCGAAAAAAGGTGCGCTAATGGGCTAAGTGCGGAAAAAAAGGTGCGCAAATGTCCGGGTGCGCAAAAAAAAGGTCGCATTTGTCCCACTCCCGTCGGTTCTTTGTCATTGGAGATTTCGTGACTGGCACATTTGGTAATTGGTGTTAATTGGCAAAAATCTTGAGTCTATTTTTGGGGAAAACTGCAGCATGAAATTTGTTTGAGTTTTTCAATGACGTGTGGGTGGTTGTCGTGCTTTTTGATGTCCCGGTCGGGAATTTTCACGCTTCATCGCAAAAGGTCAGCGAATATACGAAAAACTTTTTTTTTCCGAATATTCGTCTGACTTTATAGAAGTGCAATAACACGGAATAGATTTATTCTTTTGTATACATCAACAGACTGAGAGTGAGAGCTCAATGAATGAGAGAGTAAGTATATCACAAAAATTGTTCGACAAAACTTTTTCCTGGGCTACGATAGGGAGTACTATAAATAGAATAGGACTACGGTAGGCTTGAATTACGGTAGCTTGTAGGTAAAACTTATTGGTTATACTAAATCGTCCTCAAAATCGTTGGTGGCCCGCTTGGAGAACGGGCTGAAACGCGCCAACGGGGCCCGGAATCCCTGATTGAAGGCGGAGAAGTACGGGAAATTACCCTAAATTTGGATAAATCCAATTGAGATTGATATTTTGAAGCTGAAACTCTGAAGGAAAACCCATAAATCCTGCAAGCATTTAGCTCAGAACTCCAGAAAACTCCAGAAATTTTTAATCCCAATGCAAAAAGTTCACTAATTAGGCTCTAGTAAGTACTAGAGCTGATTTCAAAGGACTAATTGAATGACTTAGTTGGCTCTATTCAACTCAAAACATCAAAAAGCAATATGTGAATAGAAATTGAGTGTTGTTATCAATAAAACTTTATCCAATCTTTTTCATCTATCTTTTCATAACTCACATTCATCTGTTTGATCCTTCTTGTTCCCCATCCTGGATTCGAGTTGCGCGCCACAGGAACCTCCTGAAAAAAAAAATCTGACATTAGATAGCCCTACTAGAAAGGCATACTGTAAATACTGTAATAGTATCCTCCTCGTACAGTCGCGTAGTCGCAAAAGTATTTCATTTTTTTAGTATTTCATTTCATTGCTTTTTTTTTTAAAGCGCTCGTACTTTCAAAAAATGCGTCTTTGGTATCAAAAAATAGCTGAAATTCAGGGCTATTTTGTGCTACCTAAGCGCGCATCGTAGCTTAAACCAGTGTCGAGAAAAACGCGTTCAAAGCTAGACTACGCAACACTCCACACCATCATTATGGGAATGGGGTACTATTACAGGATTTACCATACATTTTATCAGCTTAGGTGATAAACAAAAATAAAAATAGGATAGAGTGCAAAAGGGGTATAGAAATATAGAAAGATACTTTGATTCTCGTGGATGTGCTGAATGGAGGGCCTTTTCGAGTGACACGAGGTGGACCAAAAGAGGAAAATCGATCACAATCAATGTACCGCAAAACAACCAATGGACTGTAGCACGGCCATGGAGAGGATTGTGGCTAAAAGAAAGATCGAAATCGAAATCGAATTGCACAGAGCACAGATGAAAGATGAAGTCAAAGAAGATTGCGTACTTTGTGCTCAAAAATTGAACCGCAACCTTTCTGGCATAACTTTGCACTTGGTGTGACAAGAAAAATGTAAATTTCACTGCACCAGTAGGGATGCGTTTACATTTTTGGAGCACAAGGTACATCAGAAAAGTATAGTGAAAAGAAAAACCCATTTCACTCACACATTTTCACAAATAACACTGCAAATTCGAGTTGTAAGGCTTTTTTTTTTGAAATGGATAGAATTTGTTGAAGTAATTCATCCCCTACTCACCCTAACAATTGGTCCTTGTGGAGTCGAGAGAACGGCGACGAGAACACAAAATAAAGCCAACAAATAGCTGAATGGAGACATCGATTCTGCAAAGTTTTTCGATTATAGTATTTTATAAAGATTTTCACTGAGATTTTCTAATTTTGTTACAAAGAAATCTCGAAGGAACCTTTTATTTATTAGTAAGGAGTGAGGAGCTGGAGTTAAGGAAACATTTCATTTAAAAGAGTTAAGGAATCTCGTTACATTGTTACAAAGAAATCTCGAAGGAACGTTTTATTTATTTTATTTTCTATTTTATATATCAGGATAAAAGTTAAGATATAGAATGGATAATAATCAACTAAAAGATGAAAAGAAAGAATACAATACGTAAGGGATCGGTTCAGAGTAAGGAGCTGGAGTTAAGGAAACATTACAAGAAAAAGAGTTAAGGAAACATTTCATTTAAAAGAGTTAAGGAAACATTTCAAGCAAAAGAGTTAAGGGAACATTTCAAGCAAAAGAGTTAAGGAAACATTTCATTTAAAAGAGTTAAGGAAACATTTCAAGCAAAAGAGTTAAGGAAACATTTCATTTAAAAGAGTTAAGGAAACATTTCAAGCAAAAGAGTTAAGGAAACATTTCATTTAAAAGAGTTAAGGAAACATTTCATTTAAAAGAGTTAAGGCAATATTTCACTCAATTTGTTCAATTAAACAGTAAAAATTTATACGTTAATATCAATTTTGTTTTGCTATTACGTTAATTGTCTGTGATTTAGAGTACAAGGAAGAAAAATTTCGATTAAAAAAACGTTTCTTCCTCTATGCTGTCAACTCCACACCACCACGTGACGCAAATCTCAACTAAAACAAAAAGGAGAATTGAATTTATGCATTTGATAGTTAAACTTTAAAAATTGAAAGGAATTTTAAAAAATAAACTAGAAAATCAGAAAATGACTGAGATTTTCTAATTTTTTTTTCACAAAGAAATCTCGAAGGAACGTTTGAAATTTTCATGAGCATTGTTCAGAAGAAAATTGTTCCTTCCTGGGGTTTCGTGTTCAAAAATGGGAAAGATGAGAAAGCTTGGATGTCTCAATATCTAATATGTATCTATTTTAGAATTTGTATAGTAAAAATGAATTCAACGAACAGTCTAATCGTAAGCACCAGAGATCTACTCTAGGCTCGGTGAGGGTTATTGTAAATAGACACAGCTACGATAGGCTTAGACTAAGGTAGGTTTGAACGACGGTAGCTTTGGACTAGGGTAGGCTTGGACTACGATAGGCTTAGACTACGGTAGCTTTGAACTACGGTAGGCTTAGACTACGATAGGCTTAGACCACGGTAGGCTCGGACAACGATAGGCTTAGACTACGATAGGCTTAGACCACGGTAGGCTCGGACTACGGTAGGCTTAGACTACGATAGGCTTAGACCACGGTAGGCTCGGACAACGATAGGCTTAGACTACGATAGGCTTAGACTACGATAGGCTTAGACCACGGTAGGCTCGGACAACGATAGGCTTAGACTACGATAGGCTTAGACTACGATAGGCTTAGACCACGGTAGGCTCGGACTACAATAGGCTTAGACTACGATAGGCTTAGACTACGATGGGCTTAGACTACGATAGGCTTAGACTACGATAGGCTCGGACTACGATAGGCTTAGACTACGATAGGCTCGGACTACGATAGGCTTAGACTACGATGGGCTTAGACTACGATAGGCTTAGACTACGATAGGCTCGGACTACGATAGGCTTAGACTACGATAGGTTTCAACTGCAAATCTATGCTAAAATAGCGGCCTAGAGGCAAATTTTAAACAGGATTACTGTACAGCATTTAATAGTTTTCAACTTTTATAACTCCAAGGATCAAATCAACAACAGTTTAATGTGTTTTGAGATTTAAAACAAGAAATTACAAACCCCTAAAGATCTTCTAGTCTAAAAGCCCTTTCAAGACCAATCTCGTGAAAAACAAAGGTCAACAAAATTTTTTGCCCATTAAATGAGATGTGGAAAAAAGGGGAAAGTGGAGCCTTTTTCCTTCAAAAATTTCCACCCACTTAGTACCCACAAAATGGAGAGAAACAACCGCCCTTTTTTTCAGAATTCTCCCCCCCCCCCCCCCCAAATCCTCTCATCCAAGCGGAAAGAAACACGTAAGCACCAACAATTTTGTCTCTTTTTGTGATGAAGGAACTGAACCCATTTCACATCATAGAAATTGAGACAAGTGTTCCATTTTTTTTGCGATCTCTGAGACTCAAACGGATTTGCAGAAGTATTTTTGAGAGGATGATGTGAAAGGGAAATTTTTTTTGATACAAGTGATACAAGTTTGTTTGATAGTTTGTTTTGAGTTTGTTTGATACAATGTACGGTAAGTGATGCAAGCTAAGACTCTTCAAAAGCTTAACAAAGTAAAAGACACTTCTGTTGATCTGTTTTCTAGAAAATTGAAGATATTCGAGCGTAGTTCGATCAAATGTTTACCTGTGAACACTAGGATATTATTAGCTTACCTATTTTTAGATAAAATCAAACTGATTTCCGAGAAGTTTATTGACATAACATGAGTAATCTTAAACACGGTACTCTACATTGTACTCTAAATACGGTACTTTACAATGTACTCTAAATACGGTACTCTACAATGTACTCTAAATACGGTACTCTACAATGTACTCTAACCACGGCACTCTACATTGTACTCTAGATACGGTACTCTACATTGTACTCTAACCACGGTACTCTACATTGTACAAGATAAATACAAGGTACAAGACTTTACATTGTACAACATTGTACAAGATAAAAGCAACTCAAAAACTTTAAGAATTGATTTTTAAAGATATATTAAAGAAGAAAAACTATGGAATCGTTTTTTGAAGAGATTTCTTAAGCGAATCGATCCTGGAATACGGTTTTAAGCACGTTTTTTTTTTCTTTAAAAACATTCTAAACACTGAAATTCGATTAGGACTTGAGGGTGGCCAATAAAGGTGGCCAATAAAGGTGGCCAATAAAGGTGGCCAATAAAGGTGGCCAATAAAGGTGGCCAATAAAGGTGGCCAATAAAGGTGGCCAATAAAGGGGCCACCAAAGGTGGCCAATAAAGGTGGCCAATAAAGGTGGCCAATAAAGGTGGCCAATAAAGGTGGCCAATAAAGGTGGCCAATAAAGGTGGCCAATAAAGGTGGCCAATAAAGGTGGCCAATAAAGGTGGCCAATAAAAGTGGCCAATAAAAGTGGCCAATAAAAGTGGCCAATAAAAGTGGCCAATAAAAGTGGCCAATAAAAGTGGCCAATAAAAGTGGCCAATAAAAGTGGCCAATAAAAGTGGCCAATAAAAGTGGCCAATAAAAGTGGCCAATAAAAGTGGCCAATAAAAGTGGCCAATAAAAGTGGCCAATAAAAGTGGCCAATAAAGGTGAGTAAATCGAGGAAAATGCTGCTTTCGTCAGTCGTAAACCACTCGAGTCTTGTCAGCATAAACATCATCCTGCATAAAAACACTAAATCCTGTTGCGAAAGTGATTCTTGGCGCATAGAAAAGATCTTTTTTTAACAAAAATTCACAATCAACCGAGATTCCGCATAAATTTTACTGGATCTACCGTAATATTTCTAATAATAACGCCCTCCCCCCGTATAGTCGCGTAGTCGCAAAAATTTTTACAATCGTTTTTTTCTAAGCGCCCATTCATTTCTAAAAATAAATGTTTGCTATCAAAAAATAGCCCTGAAGCTTTCATTTGATACTTGAGCATACACTGTAGCATAAACGAGTGGCGAGAAAAACTCGTTCAAAGCTAGACTACGCGACGCTCCGACCGTCTTTATAGGGGGGTTCTATTAGAGGTATTATGGTAGCAAAATATCAATGGAAACATGAAATACCATTTCCGAGTAGTTCATTTTCGCTTACTTTATTTGACATTACTTTGCACTTTCTAATAAAGGCAAATTGAAAATTGCGAAGGAGTTATTCTGAATGCACTATTTAGCTTCAATACCTACAGAAGCTTCATCACCTACAGAAGCTTCAACACCTACAGAAGCTTCATCACCTACAGAAGCTCACACCCACAGAAGCTCATCACCCACAGAAGCTTCATCACCACAGAAGTTCATCACCTACAGAAGCTTCATCACCTACAGAAGCTTCATCACCTACAAAAGCTTCAACACCTACAGAAGCTTCATCACCTACAGAAGCTTCATCACCTACAGAAGCTTCAACACCTACAGAAGCTTCATCACCTACAGAAGCTTCATCACCTACAGAAGCTTCAACACCTACAGAAGCTTCTCACCTACAGAAGCTTCCTCACCTCAGAAGCTTCATCACCTACAGAAGCTTCATCACCTACAAAAGCTTCATCACCTACAGAAGCTACATCACCTACAGAAGCTTCATCACCTACAGAAGTTTCTTTCCACGAAAGTTGCTAGATTCTTTCAATCTTTCAAAAGATCTCGATAGTCAACTAAAATAAATGTTTGATATCAAAAAATAGCCCTGAAGCTTTCATTTGATACTTGAGCATACACTGTAGCATAAACGAGTGGCGAGAAAAATGCGTTTAAAGTTAGTCTACGCGACGCTCCGACCGTCTTTATAGGTCACTTCGCTGGGATATTCCCAACAACATTGATTTTGTGTCTTCTTGCTAATTCGGCAAAGTTTGTGGCTGTGATTCCAATGATTGCCTAAAAATCAATCTATTAGACTAAATATTAGGTTGGAAAGAAAGTTCTCGAAAAAAGTTAGACTAGAATTTCTTAAAAACGAATCCACCAATTCAAGAACATTTTGTTCTATTATTTACGACGTGACTCCAAGAAATTACTCATAAAAAAAAAATGAGTGCAGCTTTCCCTTAAAATTTTCGAGATTTTTGAAAAATCATTATTTTCCAGCTTAAATTCAGCTCACTTTTTGCATCAGAAAAAGGATTCCTTATGAGGTAAAGCTAGTATAAATGAGCAATACTCTATATAATCTCTATAATCTCTATTTTTGGCCAAAAGACTTTTTACAGAAAAGCTGTTATTCAAAAAAGAATTTTTTA